TGGAAAACCGATCGAAAAACCACCAACCTGATACGGTTTGACACGAGAGTGAATTTCCTGAATACCCACTTCTCTCGTGCGTACATCACGACAGCTTGCCCCAAGCTCAGCCATCCGTGCCAGGACAAGTTCGCGTAAATTGCCGTGTTCGACTCCACTGGTTACCAATGGCATAGGAATATCACTAGCCCAGATAATAATGGTGAGAACAGACAAGGGAAAAAGGGGTGAACGAAACGAATGGTGATTATCACGATCCTGAAGTGAACTCGCGCACACCTTCGAAGTAACCGCCGTACATCCATTTAAGAATTACCAATAAGAATTCACAAGTGCCACTGAAAAGATTCAGCTGTTCATATCCATCAAAATGCAGAAGGTTTGGATGAAAGCAGTGAGCTCATCATCATACATTGAAACGCAATTTCATTGATCACTGCATTGGTTTGTCCGAACTAAACACGAGCAGATCATGATTGATAACCTGGGTAGAAGTTATGTATAGGCTCAGATTAAAAGGAATTTGTTTATGTCAATCGGTTTACCATAATTCGATCATATGCTAAGAATCAAAGCACGACCAGTAGAAAGCCTAGAACACAACGCTGACCTGTTTTGTTTGCCTCAAACATCGAGATTCGAAGCCACATGGAACGAGAAAACCATATACCATATTGGTAGCCGGATCTGTGCTCCAACAGATGTGATGCACATCATGAGCATGGAAATTCTGGCCTGTTTAATCGCTTACCCACCTCTCGGTTTATACATGTTATTCGCATACCCTACTTACAAGTTTACTAAGTGGGATCGACAAGTAAAAGTAAGCCTCAGAGGTGGGCCATCGGCTGTGACTGGCTACCCTTCCATTGCACCTGACGAAACGCTCCTATAGGACTGAGCGTCTCAAATAGCGTCTGCCGAAGAAGCTCCAATCACTAATTTCACGTGGTGATATACCACATTAAAGTAAGAAGAATGAAGAGTCAACATCCTGGTAGGCGAACCGTTGGCAGTTCATCTAGGGAGTTGGCTAAAAACCCCGATTACAAACCAAACAAGGGGCGTATGAACCACACCCATCGCTCCCTAGTTGTGACAGTGGTCACCGGCTCGACTGATCACCAGTGTAAAGCGCACTTTGGATGTTTGACCTCATCCAAAGAGGGTGTGATCAGACGAACTGGACACCGAACCCTCCCCCCAAAACAGGATTGAGGTTTTCACACATCAATCCGCTGCCTTGTGGGTCAGGCTTTGGTCAATCGAAGGCTTCGGTTGTGAAATCCCCCAAAAATTCACCTGCTTTGATCCGGGAAACCTAGCAGTATTCCACTCACGGACGAAAAATCATGGAGCGATTTCTTTGTTATAAAGAGTTCTGTGCCTTGATTTGTTTGGAACAGTCTGAACTCAGACATGCGTGAAACTTAATATATAATAAAATTAGCAAAAACAATGATCTGAAATCTTTCGTTAATCGCACTGGAAAAGTTGCAGGGAAGCAATAGAGCAAGATGATATGCAACACCGTAAAGAAAAATCGACGATCCCATATGACTGTTAAACAGAAAGAGATTAGGATAGATAAAAAAGCATACCGTTGAATCCGATAGACCCGAGTCCATGGGGGAACGAGGGCCAAGATACGGGCAACCAGATCAATTAGAACAGTTGATGGGTAACTTCGATAACGACCGGTTCGCCACAGCTCGTACAGACCAGTCCCCCGAATAACCAAGGTCGGATAGATTTTCAATCCGTCTGAGCGAAATGCGGGATTTTCGAAGTATTCTGCAAACTGAGCAATATCACGTTCCCAACCGACGTTTGGCAGGTCCGGCATCATATGTGCGACAACTTTGAAGCCGGCATCTTTTGACAAATGGAAAGATTCGCACACCGCACGCACGGTATGCCCCCTGAAATAAGGTGAATGAACAGAACAATGCAACACGCGAGTGCAAGAGGTCTGGAAACGATCAAATTAGATGAGTGTCACTATTCAAAGCAGTTTCACCCCTCAAAAATACACAGACTTCGTTACCCACGGTGATACATGATTCCCAGAAAAGGGTATGAAGTGAAGCAGCATAGTTCAGCGATATGCGCAGTGGAAAACCGTGGGTACGATAAATTAAAGATTCCCCAAATTCATTGCAAGAGAAGATACATTCACACACTGTGATGATTAGTGATTTATTATTGATTATCAGCGTCCCATATAAGTAACACATGCATTGGACTGTTGCTACACGATAGTTAACAGTAGAAAGCTGACAAACAAGTTTGTCCTAAATGCTTCATCTACAAGGCACCACGATTATCTTCGTCGAATTTGGAAATGACAAGTTAGTAAAAAGACCAACGGGGCTTAGATAAACTGAATCAACTCACCTGGGTGGTACATGGAAATGCCTATGTATGAGTATGATATACTGGTTTCATCAATTCCCATATTGTAATTTTGTGACACCCGCCTACTCAACTTGCTTATCCATCGTGATGATAAGCTGAGCTCCGTTCAGTCAATCACATATCAGCGTTGTTCTCAAAAAGAACCAGTTTTATTCAAGGACATGCGAGACCTCGACCTGATTCCCCTCGGAGAAAAAATGCATCATCAATTGAGGTATCCACTGGGTATGTCCTACTCATTGGCTTCCTGTGTGGTGAGGATGCCTCCATCACAGTGAGATGGAGAAAAGCCATGACTCGGGGTTGATGAACTACGGGTAGTTAGTTGATTTAGGGAGCTAAAAAACTGATTTTAAGCTTCAAAACGGGCATGCCAAGATAATAGGGTGCAATGAACAACAGAAAGACGGGTGAATCACATCTTAAAGATGCAGGATTGGTATAAGGGGATAAAAGAATGCAATGAACTACAATCTTTCTACACGCCAGGTTTTCACCAGCCAAACGGTTGAGGTTTGAATTTGGAAGAAAATTTTATGCTCTAGCCTGAGCCCATGAACCAAGTATCGACGGATCTTTTTTCAGAGAGAGACTTGTATTCAGGTTGGTCTAACAGTCTGGTTTCATACAAGTGTAATAAAATGGAGCGGTGTGGTTTCAGTTTGTAAAACCATTAATCATGTGATTTCGTGCACTGGTTCTGTTTGCTCTCTTTTGGCTGCCTATTTTGATGAAGCAGTAGGAGAAAGATAAGAAAGTTGAAAGTAAAGCCAAAGAGAAATTGGAGAATTTCAATGGACTAAGGTGGTAAAAAACATTGACAAGATGCACGCCATTGTTTGCGATACTCAGCCATATCATCCAGTGTCTCTAACCACCGGTTACGATCATCCCGAGGTCACCAGCTAGGGAGCCCAACGGGACCTATGTGACTCAGTTTCCTGGTTAGGGTTTTCATACCCTCATGTCAGGTCTTAGTTTGACCGCCCTTGACCCTTTTCTATCCGACGCTTTCCCTGGCAAACGTCGTGGTAATCTATTTGGTGCTATGTGTAGCACGCCCCAACCAACGTAATCCATAGAGGTCGACCACTTGCCCCAATGGACGACTATGAATACCCAAAAATCAGTATTGCTCGTCCGGTTGCTCCACCAGATTCGTGCAATGCTGCGTAGACAGCGATGTTCAAACATCGACAGTCCGTCTTTATCCTGTTTTCTAAATTAGCAAGTTGCTATGTCGTACGGCAGAACATATTTTTTAATTTTTTATCATTACATACCTTAATTTAATGAACAGTAGACGGGGTAAACCCCATAGTCACGAGGACCTGCTGTTCAGTGATGGAAACCGGTAACCTAAGCCCCGGTACTTGGAGTGACTAAAAACATAAGGTTCCGTTAGTTTAG